GCGCTGCAGAGCTTCTGGCGACTGTAGCTGTGCAACCTATAGAAGACATCAGCAGATTGGCCACGTGCAGCTGCAGTCAGTCCTGCTCTGCTTGCAAACCATTCGGCCACAAGTGCGTGGGGTGTTCATTTGCTTCATGTCCACTTCATTCTTGAGGAGGCCCTTGCGTATGAACATCTCACTTCGGCTGTGGGAAGCCCACCCAAAGGCATGTTCTCCGCTTCAATCCGCTTCATTGCAAGTCTCATGCTTGGAGCCAGGCCGATGAGTCTCAAAGATCAGGGCAGATCAGGGAAGACTTTGAAGCTTAGATCGCTGGCGGTGGCCAGGTACGATGAGCGGAGTCCACATGCACACCACGAATGTCATCCGTGCCGGGCCTCAAAGCAGAAGCCTCAGCGTTCTGCCAACTCTCCGCTTTTCCTCTTGCTCCCACGCTTGCGGATCTGCACCTTGCAAATGGAGCAGTTCCACCGTGGCTTACCATGTGCACAAATATTTAGGCCTCCGCAGGGAGCGCAGACATGACGCAAAATATTGTGACAGCAGTAATCAACGTTGTTCGGACAGTCCCACTTGTAGGCGGATCCATCAACCACAGTGAATCTGCTTGACTTCCTGCTGCCTCTTCGGCACACAGCATGCCCATTGTTCGGCACGAGAATGGCTACCTCTGAAGTCTTCGGATGCACGAAATACCAGTCTGTGGACATCAAGTGTCCACAGCCACTGCAGCGAAGCATTTTTGGCTCGTGCGGCCTGTGAACAACGGTGCTGAAAGATCGCACTCGCTTGTCAGGCCGATAGCTGTCCGATATATGCGCCCGATCCTTCACTTTCGCCCTGCGAATGTCCAGCCTCTTGTCTTGGTCCTGCGTGATGCAAAGTCATGGCCATCCAACTGATTGCTTCAGCATCTTGAGGTCAACATGTTAGTATTAAACCCCTGAGTACAAAGGGACATGCGTTCAGAAGCACACCTCCTGCCCCCTGCCGCCAAGGCTGCCAAGGTCCAGGGATGAAGGCCCGGCCACGCGTGCCGAGTTGTCAGCAGCTGCGCTCGCATCGCTCGCGCCTTGAGTGGCCAGCTTCAAGTTCGCCCACCTTCAAGGCTCTTGCTTGAACGAGGCATGCATGAAAGCAAAACCTGAGGCGGAAGTAGTTGCCAACAGGCAATGAACACCAAAAACATGAGAGTACGGAATTTTCAGTAACAAGTCCGGGGAACAGCTTGGACGAGGCAGCTTCGCTGATCTGCCCATGGGCTTCCTCAAATTTCAAAATCAAATGCTGCACGCGCTGAATGGCGAGATCCACTGTGGAATCTTCAAGCCCAAGCTTGTTCCACATGAGCAAGGCTCGCAACAAGGTTCTCTTGATCAGCTTCTGCAAGTCGGCCGAACCCAGCGATCTCTCTCCGTTTTCTGTCTGCGAGGCATCCTCTCTGTGGACCATACCGCGAGCTCGTGGAGGGGACAAAGCAGCAGCAGCCTGTAGGAGAATGACTGCCAGTCTCTTAGGATGGCGTCTTTTCGCATGCAGTTCTTGTATGCCGTCTGCCCATCTCTTTGAGGCTTCTACTCTGCTCTGCAGTTCCATGTTATGCCAGCGCATGATGTGGCGCTGGAATGCTCGCGCGGAGTTTTGCTTGTGCAAAGTGTCTACAATTTCTTCCTCTGCATCCAACGGCAAGCTGCAGAAGACACGCTCGAGAATCGTGAAGTACTGACCACACACGACGTGTGAATCCTCCAGCAAGCATGCCACGCGGCGCTTGACTAGTTGCAGACTGGTGCTCAATCGTGTGCCCCACGAGGTTCGCTTCGTTCCACGCAACATGCGTAGCATTTTATCCAACAACCCCACCGGGGAAATGGCAGCTTTGCCCTCACATTTCAAAACAACGTCAGTGTCTAGCAGCGTGCACCATGCGCAAACATGGCAAGCATGCCGACGGAGCTCTTTACCTTTGAGACACGCCGCAGCTTTCGCATATCGTGCCAAAACGCTGCCCCTCCGGCTTGCTGAATACTTTGCCGCATGGTACCGGAGGGCTCGTTCCAACTCTCGATCCAAATTGGAGCCCTGCTGACCATGCCCAGTCTTGACCACAAACATCGCTTCAGAAAGATGTGAAAAGTGAGATAGCTACCCGACCGGGACGCAAGCGAATGCTGAATTCAGTGCAGGGGGCAGTGCAGTCAACACTGGCATAGACGGTGCTAGCTTTGCAGGCAAGCCTTTTTATTCCAAAAGAGCCTAAACTCCTAGTAGCTCCCCTAATAACCCCTACAGTATAATAGTCCCCTCTATAATCCCCTATACAAGCCTCTTTCAGGAGTTTAGACTACAGCTCCTGTCATGTCAGATTTGCACATGCGAGCTTGGCTAAGCTGCAGCCAACTGCTTTGAGGCGGCGCGCAGGAAGATGAGGACATATCTCCTGAAATTATGGGTACTTTTTTGCGGGTCCTCATAATATGGATGATAAAAACTGGGGGTCTATATTGAGGGCCCCCTATGTAGGGAAACTACCATATCACACCTTAAGGCCCTGGCGCCGTCCAGCCCTGGAAGAGCTGCTCATGCCAAGGCCTCAGGCAGGGCTGCTAGCAAAGGGAAGCCGGGAAGCATAATAGGGATTATAGGGGTTATATAAGGTTATATTGGGATTATATTGGGATTATATTGGGGTAATATTGGGATAATGGAAAAGAAAATGGAAACCCTAGGTCCCTTTCAAAGTCACAGCAATAGTGGATGTAGTGTTTACGGGATGCTCCAGTAGGGAAAGTGTATAATCATAGGACCTCTTAGGGGCCGAGCTGCCTGAGCTTTGGCCGTACCCATGCCTGGCCAGGAATTGCCCATCTCTTCATTTCGGGACACTGGCTCTGGGATCTCAGTCTGTTGGCCACCCACTCTTTACAGCATTCCGACACAGGGCAGTGGGACAAACGGCTCAAGCTGCTGAAGCACAAACGGTCTTGAACAGTTTGCTCCATTATGATGTGCTGATCTGATGGAGATTGTACCTCAGCACAGAATTCCCCACACGTTCGGCCTTGCATGTTGCACCGCGCAAAGCTGCAGCGAGCGCACGCGACTTTTCCATGCTCAATCGACTCTTCGCGTGCTTCTGCCCCAGGCCCCCTACAGGAACCAAAACCTGGACTCTACACATCCCTCGACATGATAAACCTTGTACATTCTGAATATGGTAGTTTCCCTAAGTAGGGGGACCCCAATATAGACCCCAAAATACTATAATCCTTATTAAAGGGACCCCCAAAGTAATATCCCTAATTTGTGGAAACTACCATAGAGGAATAGACAATGAGGGCATCTTGCAGCCCTCAACAGGTATCACGTTTTGGATCCTTTCCGGACTCTGGGTCTGGTCTGGCCCCTTTTCGGCCGGTCGGCCATGCAACGGGGTAGGGACTTGGAATATGAACCTTGCTACCAGAATGAAATACTTGATTTTTTCACGTAAACAGAACTGAAGAGAAGATGTCAAGCCATATCCAAAACCTGTCATGAAAATATGCTGCTTACAAACCCCCGCCATCAAAATCCTAACATGCTTACATAGTCCTGCACAGAGAAAACTTCACCTTGAGCAGTTCTATAGAAAAGGATTCTGAAGCTTGTAGTTAATTAGGATTTTGTCAATGCCCCCTGCAATATGAACGGCGAGTGAAACATCTTAGTGAGTATGTGGCTTAAACGCTCCCATGGTGACACGTGATAAGCAGAAAGCACGCCTGGAGTGGCTCGACTGTTCCAAACGCGCATCCCCGAACTTCCAAGGACTTCATAGTTGATGGTGGGCTAAGACCACATCTTGAATGCTTGCAGAATCCACATCTTCGGACACACTGTGGTCTGTCAGGTTTGGTGTATGTGCGGTACTCTTACTGGCTCTCAGTAGGGAATAATGGAATATATTCTATATGTGTTATGTATGGAGATCACGGAGGAATGTGCCTGGCTTAGGTTAGAAATCACGCACCTCTAGGGCCATTCTCGGCTTCATCAAGTGAACGGACATGGGATAGGGCACTTGTGTGGGGAGATCCAGGGTTTTCCAAATTGTCCTCACAATCCCGCATCTTCGCATGTTGGCATGTCGTGGTGCCGGAAGCCCGGTGCAGTGGCTTGCGCTGCACTAGACAACTTGGAGCTAGGCTAAGACCATGACTGCTTGAAATGAAAATACACAACTGTACTGCACTTTTCCATGGGAGCAGGTGTTGGCCGCCACCGTCATCACCACAAATTCATCCAAGTGGAAAGGTTGGGGTCTGGTGCTGGTGCCACCCCACCAAAGGGCATGCTCGGGGAGATTCTCTCAACTCCGAGGGCCACGGCTCTGTGACTTTCTGTGCGCGAGCCCTGAAGCCTGAAGTACTCTAGTGCTGACATTTACACTCAAAGGCGCATGTGTTTGCTACATCTGCTACGTGTCGGTTGGCGCGCAGCGACGTCTCTGCCACATTCGTGTTTTCAAGCGACGCAAACAACTTCCTCTGAAGAGTTCCTCGCAGTCCCACCGCATGGGCGACTCGCAGCCGACAGATCCGACACACCGGTATCACCAGCAGAGGCTGGATGGTGCCGGCCGCAAGAAACGAGCAAACAGCTTCATGCTCCGGCGGCAGATTGCGAGAACTCTTCACAGTCTGTGCAGTAGATGCATGTCTCACATGCCCACAGCAAGAGGTCTGTACAAGTCAAGTGCAAATGCCTACCAGCGGCCCCTTGCTAGCTGCCTGAAGCGGTGATCGTGGTCCAAGCAGGCCCGCAAAAAGCTGTGATTTCACACTCAGAACGAAATACCTCCCTGAAACAATATGGGCCTGTGCCACCCACAGCCCACATAACACCATGGCTCACCAGCAGGTAGCAGTTTTGGCGCCGGCAGCCCCAAACTAAGCAACAACTTCAGCATTATCGGCCATGCAAGTGCGGGCAGGCTCGTGCAACACCCGCAATCTTTACATGATGACCTCAGCATATCTTGGGAAGCCATTTGGGATTGAATCCAGCAGGCCCAACGCATTCTGGAACTCCGGAATGCCCTCTCCAGGATCTTGTGAAGACTGGCCCCACACCTAAGTGCAACAAAAACATGTCTCTTCGCGGGCCTGCAAGGCTGACTGACGGGCACTTGCCCTTAGGGTGGTCATGAAGGTGCAAAGGCAGCTCAACTTTGATCCATGTTCTGGGATGGGTCATTGCTCATGTCGTGCAGGTGGGCACAGAAGGCTCAGTGGCCTCTACGATGCACATTGCTTCAACGATTGAGGGTAAGTAAACTCTACCGGTTGGCTTCGTAAGATTTCATAGAGGCAAATCTGGGAAACTGCTTGTCCATACGGGTTAGCTCGCCCATTGATGCTTGCGTCCTACCTACAGGCATCTTTCTTGACTATTTTGCTGGCAGCAGCAAAGCTGAGCTTGAACTTGTACTGTGTAATTAAGGGTATGATGCGCAGCATTTTTGCTGTCAGCTTTCGAGTCAAGACAGACTTGTCGATGCCTCCCATGGCGCGTCACATGTCAAAGGCCCGCGAATTCCTGAATGGAGCCGAGCATCAGACACAAATTCCTGAAGGCTGGTAGACCAAATAGACGACCTGACATCTTCATGGTGCTGAATGTCAACGGTGCGGTACGGAACGCCGTCGACTTTGAAAGAGATGCTGTTGTCCCCCAACTCAAACCTCAGAAGCATTGGAGACAACTGCGAAAACTACGAAATCGTCGAGCACCTTGCCCACAGCACAGCACAAATCTCAGAAAGATTATCTTGGAATGCCGTGCCACCCAAACTCGTGATAGTCTGCTGTCACGTCGAAGGGTACGATGATCCACTGGTTGTGCTCCACTGCGATGTCGGTGAACATGTTAGTCCAAATCCTAGACTGGCCACCAGGACCTTTCCGGAAGCTTGGCGCACACATCAAGCTTTGTGAGATTTGTGACTCACGTGGCTGACAAATTTGGCAACTTGGCAGTACTGCAGTGCATTGTGAAAAGTGACGCTCCGGCAATGAAACAGTATCTATGAATGCGGGGATGTTTCCACAGAGCCAAGACTGCACGCGTCCAGCAGCATGCTGCTCTACATCTGCTCTACGTTGCAGGAGCCTGCCATGTTGCCCATGATTTCAAAATCGAGCTCGACCCAGGGGTGTGTCTTGGTCCTCAGGACGCTGGATGCATGAAGACTGGCTGATGACGGTCGAAGTGCATGCAGTAGGGTTTCTAGAAAACGCCGCTAGGACATGGTCATGTGTAGCAGTGTCCATCACAAGACGTCTGGAAGCGAACGGTCTCTAACTTTTCCACTCGTCATATTCGGCATGCCAGGCGTCTTATCGTAAAGGCCTCCGTTGTTCGAGAGATAGAAAGTTGTCACAACGCCAGGCCCTGGAGCAGCCTCTGGCAAAGCGGTCATACGACTACGGTGCCCCTGAGCTGGCCTGAAGGCTACAACTGGGCTACTGCCTTGCTAGGCCGCAGAGCAACCCTGAACACGCGGTCTATGTGGGCAGCCTTCAAAGCTGTAAAGCCAGGAGCAATGCTCAAGATCAGAGAGGCCCGAGCAGCTGAGCAAAAGATTGTGACAGGACCATATTTGAGACTTTCATCTCAGAAAGCTACCGGTGTGGCTGCCTGAAATGACTTATTCTCAGATACCCTGGCTTTCAAGCATTACAATGCATGAGCCTTCTTCTGGCAAACCGGCCTTGATGCGAACGGAATGGTAGCCCCTGCCCACATAGTTTGACGAGGTCAGGCGCATGCCTCAAATGTTCCGTTGGTGAGTAGGGTATTTCATGGGAGGTGCAGTGGTTAGTTGGCGGCAAGCAGCTGTCCACACTCTGCGACACCAACTTATACAGCTTCGAGCTCGCCATTTTGCGCGGCTTAATTTCCACAAGAAAACTGCCCCCAAACAAATCGAAACAGCATTACTGCGTCTTGAGCAACCGCACGTGTGCATTGACGGGCCGTCGCATGAAATCCTGCGTGGTGAGCCATTTCAATGGTATACCATTTGTACGCGGGTGTGATCCGGGTAGCGCTGAAGAGTTGAGCTTTACGTCTTGCATGCTTGTGTGGACCTAGCCACACCCAGATCTAACAAAGTGCCTGGAGGGAGAAAACGCACAACAATCATCATAGAGCCTGGTTTCGTCCCCATCATGAAGGAACTCAAAATCACGGTGGCCAAAACTAGTGGCTGAAATGGTGCTCGAAGTCCCTTGTCCAAAGCCATGACCTTGGATCTCCCGTCTCATTTTTACTACTATTAGTGTTATTAGTATTGGTAGTATAACTAACTTTTAGTAGATGATAATAAGTAGTATTAGTAATATTATCCTTATGCCTCACGACTGTACTTCGAAGTGTCCTGCGCACGCCATTTGACATTTGACAGCGCTGGGCGGAGTATGCCACCTGAGCTTCCGGAGGAATTTACCTCTTCCTGCGTCCAGCTCCCCTCAGCGTCAAATGAGCTATAGTCTAAACTCCTAGCATCCGCCCTCACTGACCCCTATAATACTCCCCTATATAATCCCATATATATATCCCCACTTTAAGGAGTCTGGACTATAGCTCAAATGCTTTAGTGTTTTTGGGGAACTTCTGCGGAAGAAGACCGCCAGTCACTGCCAGCATCCCAAGATACATTCTGAGGCAGAGTGGATTTGGAGAGATAATATACTATAATGTACTACAGTATACCATAATGTATCATAAATAGTATACTAACATACTTTAATATACTGACGCATACTATAACCGGGTGAAGCAGGCGCTACAGGCACTTCAAGGGGGCATCACAGGTGCAGCTTTATGAGTTGATAAGGGTGAGTTGAGTTCACTTGCTTGGTAAAGCCCGCTGATGTGAGGCAAGGCGCCGTCCAGCCACCCCCACTACATGAGTTCGGGCAGCATACGCTCCAGCAGTGGGTTCCATCGTTGCCACCTGGCTGACCACGGACCACGACTGTGGTGGCTGTGGTGCAGGTCCATCACAAGCACCTTCCTGAAGGGATGCAACCAAGTCTCTGCAGTATTCGCCGTTGTTGGTCCAACTGCAGTCACACGAGACAGCTCCTTCAAGCAGCTAGCGATGAAAAGCTTGGTGTATGAAAAATCACTTGAAGACACAAGTGAAAGAGATCTTGATTGCAGGAAGGCCATAGTTTCGGAACACCTCAGAAACTTACGGAATCAACACAAGCGGGTCTACACATACGACCTGTGAAGAATGGCCTCCCCTGGCTTACTGGGCCTTGCGACTGGCAAATGGCCACCAGGATGATCACGCGTAGGGACGCAGGAGCCATGTATAGAGCCTGCTCCAGAAGGGAGGTCATTCCCTGATGTGCGCGTGAACTATCGAAAGCTAGCGGCAGCACTTGTGGGAAGAGTTTTGCACTGGCTGAAAGGCAGAAGTTCCGCTGCGAGTGCTCAGCCCTTCTAAGCAGATGGTGCCTGAACGCCACAGGAGCAATAGGCCCTAGACAATTGGCGCGGAGCCACCACAGCTGCAGATTTGACATGGCCACTCATGGTTGGTACTAGGATTAGCGCCTGAGGCTGGTACACGACACTACCCCTATCCGCGTATGGTCAGTAGCTAGAAGCACATGCAGCAAGCTATGCAGCTTCAGTCCTTCAAGCGGTTCGAACGCGTTGCACAAAAAGGCTTCCGGAATGCCTGGTTGGCATGGACGTCGCAATGCCGCCTGCGAAATGCGCACAGTACCATGTCAGCCTGACTCTCAAGGAATCATTCGTGTCATGCTTCGTCAAGCAGTGCAGCTACAGAGGCCATAGGGCTACGCGAAACCCTGCAGGCCAGGGCAGCAGTATTTTCGCCAACAAGTTAGACAACGACTTTGCGTTGTCAGCGGAACCCTTCCCAAAAGGTTGCTGTCCATGGTGCATGGCTTGTCCTGCCGCGAGCCTGCGCTCCAGAAACAAATCTCGCAGGCTGCACCACGGCCAGTCGTGCAAATCGGTTGCTGCTTCAGCACAGTGTGGGAAGTGGCTTTTGCCTTTTGCCAATCAGGATATCTCAATCCTTCACCCATGGCCGTGCGTTTCATGGTGAGAAGCCTCCTCGTGCCCATGCCCATGGTCATGGCCTTCATGGCCATGTCCACAGCAATCGTTTTCTTTGCCGGGCTCACCATGTGCGTCGTGGCTGCCATGGGTAGCGTCACCGTGACAGTGGCCGTGGCTTGGTGTCTGCAGGGCCTTCACAAGTGCAGCAGGACGATGAGCTGGTGAAATGCTAAACTAGCAAGCTATGCAACGGAAACTAAATGACAAAATGGATTGTATTCCAGTGTCTCCTGAGGGTGGGATCAGAGCACCTGACCTGCGCAACATCGTCCTGCTGGACCTCTGCAATCGGCTTGAAGATCTTGTACACACCTGTAAAAGCCACAGGGGGCATGCCTCTGCTTGTGTCCCAATGGTTACGGCTACAATGTGAAACGCGCATTCTTCGGGCATCTACGGCTGTGAAAGCTTTGCAATTGCTTGCCATCTCTCCCAAAGTTGTCACAGCCACGTGGCCATTGCCCGGCTTGGGCGCTTTCACGCTGAGGTCTGTCAGCCTGCAGCAGGGGCAGAGGCTGCCTCGAACATTCAAGATTTGACCCTTTCTTGAAAGAATTATTGTTTCCAGTATGGCTTTGTAGCGGACCCTGGGCCAGGTTCATCATTCAAATAGAAAGGCACTGGCTGTTTTATGGCCTTCGAAGCCTCACGCACTCTATTCACCTTACATGGATTGAAGAAGCGGGAAGCTCACAACCAGCATTTCGCAAAGCCTTGGTGAAGGACAGCTTCGATGGGATATGCTCACCAAACTGGTCTTACAATAGCAATACCGCAAAGTGGGTCGTCAAAAGGACAGTCATGCCAGCAGAACCAATTATGTTAACTTGGCATGACTTGGCAGTAGCACCTAAACAAGTAGAAAAACGAAACGGCTTTCCAACGCAGCATCGCCTGCAAGAGACTCACTAGCTAGAAAGAAGGTTAAGATGGATTGTGAATTGTTGCATTACCGTTGTCCCAACAGGTCCCCGTTCACTGATGGGAGTCCTCTGGGAATGTTGGTCACGGTTTCGTAGTTCCGGATGCTGATCCTCGTAATGCCAGGAAACACCGTCACCACTGGCGGGCATCCTTCTTCCGGACAACGAACCTGTGGCAGTTGCGTACTTCGCGCACATCCACGAAGCAGCCAATGTAAACTCTCTGTTAGTGAGCGTGACCCGGCAAAAGTCATGTAGGTTTCCTATCATAGCTTCGGGAACTAGCCGCAAGAAGAACTTCCAAACTGCGACGACAACATTGAGATCTTGTAATGTGCCTATTTGGGGAATCCTTCAGTTCTGCAGATGCAACAGCATTAGCAGCGGACACCTTTGAAAATGGAGGTGGATGTAAAAAGTGCCGAAGCATCGCTGAGTATAGGAAATCATCTGGCTGGTAATTGCCGACCTCTGTCACAGACCATGAGGTTTCCTTCCCCAGGACCGCAAAGACTTCATCGGCCCAGTCCTCACACTCGTTCTGTTGATGCTAGGGTACTGTGGCTGCATGGAGGGTTGCATACGCGTCTCTTCTTCAGTCATGTACCCACGTGCTCGACATGGCTTGAGCAATCGAATAATCAGATGCATGATCTGTAGAGAATGCGGCTTCCAGTGCGCCAGGCTTCCAATTTTGCATTGAAATCCTAAGCCCCAGGACAGCTGAGGTGCTTCGATCTGTTCAGAGTCCGTGGCCATGGCAGAAGGCCAAGCTAAGGATTGCGCAAGCACGCCAAGAAACACAAGGAGCTCAGAATAGCCGATATCAATCTCATAACTTGATGTCACTGAACGGCTCTCCACAATTATTTCGAGTCTTGATCCACGAGACGGGTGTTAAAGATTCTTGATTGATGCACCTGAGTCTGTTGCGGCATCCCCCAAGACAAGAGGTGCTGCAGAATTGGCGGATGCAACTGGAATGCTTCTCCACTGCAGGGTGTGCTGCCTCTTGCAGCTTGTAGGTGACGGGTTCGTCAAGTGACCTCACGCTGCCCAGTCCCTCAAGCCCTTCATTCGGTCAGAGCGCACAGTAAAAGTGAACTCAACATCTCTAAGTCAGCATAGACTGTGGCCATTGCCTGTTTGGCGGGCCATGACAGCGCTTTGCCAGGCTTACAAAAAATCATGCTCGTCCGGCGGTTGCATGATGACTGCAGCAGCTCTGGATGAATGTAGAGGAGTTCTTTCCGCTATAGTTCCCAACCTGGAATTTTCCACTTGAGACTCCAGAAGAATGACCTGAGTGGTTGGCGCTTGGTTCCCTGTGCGCAGCCCGGGCACCTAGGCACCTAAGCACGGGGGGGATCGAATGCATGCAGACTATGCCTGATTTGGACAACTATGCGCAGTGCCTGCAACGAGCCAGCTGCTAAGTGAAACAATCTGGAATATGGCATGCGAAGAATTCGTCTCCATCATGGGACGCCCTCCCTACAGCATGGGCCCAGCAAGAAGTGGCAAGTCATCAACATCTGAATCATCTGATACTGAGGTGCGTATGCATGGACAGGGTCAGCATGGGTTGAAGGGGCCAAGACTAAAGTTTAGTTAGGGCTGGGACGTTCTGAATTAGGGCGGGTCCCAAGCATGACTTTTAAGGATTAGGGATCCGGGAGAAACGATTACATTGCGGACTGTATTGGGGTCCCTGTGTATGGCAGCCCCCATGTTTATCTGAGGCTGGCACTGTTGTGTCCCACTGGGCATGACCATGTGCCCACCTCGGAGGTCTCGGGCAGGCTACAACAGCTACACTGCACTGCGCATCATGGCCTCTAGCAAGCTTGGCGCGTCCAGATGGTTCCGTGCCGTCTTTTCTTCCGAGGTTGCATGCAATGCTTCTGGGTTTCGGCATTAAGCAACATCCCTAGCCGCATCGGCTGGAAAAGGATGAGTTCCTTCCGCCGCAGAGTTGAAACGTTGAAATGTTCAAACGCCTCCGTGAGCCCAGACTTCCCAGAATCTTTGCGCTGCCAAGAGGTGTTTATGGGGCTTGCAAATGTCCCATGGCAGCGATGAAGCTAAGCAGCGGCTTTTATTACTTCTGCGCTGACTAGTTGCCTCTATCGCAACCCCTGTCAATGTAAGACATATTAGTCATATTAGGCAACGATGACTTGACATCAGCATCTGCAGTCTTTGTCGTATTCTGGGGGTCTCTCAACAGGAGCTCTGGCCTCACTTCGATCGATCTTTGTGTACTGGGTCTTCACACACCTCAGCAACTTTCAATTCAATAAGCGGGCTGTAGAGGTAGTCGTGCGGGCTCGTAATGAACCGCGAAACAAAACCTCAACCTTAAGCCCATACAGGTCCTAGGACTCCTCAGCCGGGAGGGAGCTTGTGCCATCCCAGCTGGCAAGGCTTAGTAGGGCACTCACTGATCCTTCTGCACCATTCACCTCCGGAAGCCTTTGATGGCTCATTGTCTATATTGGCATCGCTACTCCAAGGGTCCTCCAAACCTGGTCCACCCAGTTTCTATGTTGCTGTCCGTGCCAACGAAATCTAGACGTGGTTGCTTTTACGGAGCTTCCTTGGACTAATCCTGATGCTTGGGCTGTACACGAGAGAAGCTCTGTTGAGGAGTGGGCACATCCGCCACATTACGAATAACCATATACTCTGCCATGCAAACCTCCTCAAGCCTTCAAGGACCCAGTCTACCAACATTCATGTGTATGCACGTGTGCATGTGCACGTCATAATTTATATGCTTATGCGGCGGAGCCTCATGGCTCTGAAGGATCTAGCGGGCCAAACAAAGGTGCACGGCTTCCGGACCAAGCACTGGTGGAGATCCCTATCTGTCCTCCTCCAGTGCCTGGAGTCAGTAAGGAACCCTGTAATGAATTCGTTCACACCAGACTTCCTGTTCCACAATTACTTTCGCGACTAGACAGCCTCTCATGTGCAACAGATAATTAGCATGAAGCTGGTAGCTTCTGTGTTGCAGTGGGAGCAGGCGGCGCCGGAATGGCCGGCGCACATTCGGAGCTGTCACTCGTGAATTGCTAACTTCTAGAGTCGTTGAGATTACAGGGTTCCTTCAAGCAGAGATATGCTTGCAAGAGAGACCGTGCAGCACTTTGGCGGCCACGTGCAAGGCTATTGCAGGCAGTGTGCCATGCCGTAGACGTACAATCCTTCTCCTTCTTACGAAGTGCAGACTCCGCCAAGCCAGCACGAGCTTGCTGAGCCAGTATTTGGCACTGGACAAAAAAGAAGCCGGGAAGCCACTTCCTAGACCTCGCTCCCTGATGTTTGGTCATCCCTCCTTTGTTCTTTTCTGTCCAGAAAAAATGCCAGAGCCAGGATTGAAACTGGAGGAAAACGTTGTGCGTTTTGTGGTGCAAAGCCTTTGAGGCTGTCGAGAGTTGATGTCAGGCTGCATCAGCCAAGGCTTCTTCTTCGTTCTCCATTGGCTCGATGGGAGGAGCTATGCCAAGCTTTCTCGAGTTCGTTACGATCGACACCCACACCTGAGGCGGCAAAGAGAAACATACGAACAGTGGGAAATTCTAGATGGACTACAGACTCTGTGGGGAATATCTGGTGCAAACATTGGGCTGATCGAGTTGCTCTGCTTTCTGCATCTTTCTTGTAAGGTGTGTAAGGCAGGGGCTAATCGATGCAGTCGAAGTATGCGGGCTTCGATTCGAGGTGCCATAATGCTATAAGTTCGCTCTTGAAAGCTTCTGTGATGGATGGGCATGGAATGATCATCTGAAAACTTGCCAAATGCTTCAGATGAGCACGGGTTCAGTTGTCAGCAGAGGGCGTGCGCACACGGCCAAACATTGTTGCTCTGCACAACATTTCAGTCAAGTCACCATCATTGGAATACCACCCTTTGCTATGACGTCAGCAATTGCATAGCCGGCAACCTCGATCTCCTCAGGCAATGTCTTCGTGCCTCGGCCCGTCATGCTGCAGACAGCTGGCCTCCTTGCGATTCTACAAGATGAGAAGTGTATGGCTCAATGCCGGCCATTACTTATCCTACGAATTACCTCTGAAGCCCAGAACAGAAAACACCCTGCAGTCCGCTCAAGAGCTGGGACTCCGTTCCTATGAGCAGAAGGCAAAATCTCACTGAGTTCTCAGCACTCGCACAAGGCGAAAAGCACAGGGTAGATGCACCAAATTTCGGCCTCAGCTCGTCGAGCTTTTCCTATTATACATGCTGCTCAATGCAAGCCTTGATAGAAATGCATGTCTTTATGAAGTTGTATAGATTGCAGACGGACGCGGGAACAGAACCAGCGACGCATCCATGCATGCATCAAGCGCACTAAGACTTCCATTCATGCACCTGCGTCTCTTGGCCACGGGGCTGTGCGATTTGCAACGAATTTGAAAAGCAATTCGGCCTCTCCTCCTGAAGGGCTGAAGCGCTTACAGCCCTGTGCAGATGGACGGGACTTGTAACTCTGTTCAGGTGGTAAGAAGATGAAGACCCTCCGACCTCTACCATGCGAAAAGGAAGTCTTTGTCACAGACATACCCCTGACGCTCGGCTGTCCTAGCTTTTCCGCTCGAGTGTTGAGGCTGAGGAAGAGCTTGAGCAGGACTCCCGTGAACGCCAAGAGGCCCAGCATAAAGCAGGGCCACTTGCCTACATTCATGCAGAGCGTCGCAGCTACATACAGTCATACACTTAGCTGTTTCGGTGCTTCCACGAGATTTTGCCAAAAGCGCTTATGCCCACAAAACCGCTGCAAGCTGCTCTGCAGTTGGCCCAGACAGCATGGGCCAACCAATGGCTACACACGAGGCTGGGCCCGCCTGCTGGACTCATTGAGGAAGCAATGCCAAAAATCAGCATAAGTTCATCAAAGACCTCGGACGATCACATGGCAGGCTCTGGGCCATCCAAGGGCAAAGCAGCAATGCGGCCAAATTATAATCCTGAGGGAGCTTCAAAAAGCATCAGGAGCATAAAGAGGTGAGCGCCGGCTTTTTTCATTACCTGGGCCTTATGGGACATGTTTAATCCACGGCCCCTCATCTCGTTCGCCTTATATCAATTGTAATGTACCTTGACGAAGTCACCTGATCTCGTTCGCCATGTTGGAACATGTACTGGGCTCTTATTGCAAGAGAAGCTGCGGCCTATCTCGTTCAATACACGGCCCCTATGTTGTCAGAGGAATGCTGTACCCAGTTGCAAGAATTCCAACGCGCCTAGTAGAAGGGTGTGTTCGATACAGGGAGACTCTTTTCGTTCCTTTAGACAGGGAGGCCCCCGCAAAGCGGTACAGCACATAGGCCAGGATGCAATGAGCAGGATCGTCTGCCACCTCTCAGCTCCAGCAAGTACGCCCAGCTCGATCAGCATCAGTGGCGTCGTGAAGCACCAGTCCACGTATCCTTGGGCTGAGCAGCGAAGGTCATCATGACTTTTGAAGAGTTTGACTGTGCATGTATAGTGCCTGTTCAGACGTGAAACGAGGTGCCCTCACGACAATGTATCCACCTAAATGGGCTCAAACCAACCTGAAGAGGTGGATGGCCGGGTAGCGAATCCAGTAAACTCGCGTTCCGTCGGCTTCCTGACATGGTCATCTGCTCTGTGAGTACCAATGTGCGGGGATATTGCTGGTGATTGTGATGGTGAGATGATCGCCGGCGCGAAGTAATTTCCGTGGTGACAATCTCTACGCCAAAGCACTTGGCAGAAGAAAACTTAGCAGTTCTCTTGTGCAAACATACATACCACTGGGACTGCAACACAATGCTTCTGCACGCGAGCATGGCGCGCCCTCAGCGTGAAACACCCAGAACTGCGACACAATAATTCAATACAATTCCATGCCAGAGGGATCAAGCCAGAAGACGCACAGCAGCATGCTTGACCTCAAGCGCTCGCCTCCAGGATTCCCAGGTCCATGCTCATGAGGAAGTAGGCGACGGATGCACACGAAGTGACCTGTGACCGACAACGCAATTTTGATTGTGCAGGTGTTCTGGAACCCCACTGGAGCATTGATGCACTTGGCTGCAATGCATGAACCATGCCCAAGAAGACAAGCACGAACAAGACAAATGTCGCCGCTTGGGTGCCAACATGCAAACACCTCCTAGTTTGCAGGGTCCTACTTAAGCTTCCGGCCATCACGGCAATGCGGTTGAAGGCCGCTGTTGGGTCCTTTCTTGCCTCGAGCGGACGTGAAAAGCAAGGTTTTTGTGACGGCATGCTCTTACATCTGACTCTGACTTCCTAAGTGTAGTACTATAATTACTCACTTGGTTTGCTCTCAGTGCTGAGCTGCAACCAAAAACAAACAATAGTCCAATTCGAAAATGTCTCAGCTGCAGGCCATACCCATCAAGGCCAAACTCAATGTGCTCATCACCATGAAAGTACAGGTCAGTGCCAACACCTAAGTTGGGCAGGTTCATGCTAACATGTCTCCTTACTGCGCCTCCTCTCTTCAAACTCAATCAAACTAACATGAAATCTGGAAAGAGGCCTACTGTGGACCGCTGTCCTTGACAGAGGGCCTAGGTGTGGTTTCACCTTGTATTGGGGGAGCGTAATGTGAGTTTAGAGAAACTTCCTTCTCGATGTTCTCATCGAGCGGCGGCATGGTTGACTGGCGAAACAACCATTGCAGCCACGCCCGCGCAAGGGCTTTGCAGGCTTTGAGCAACAAACGGCCTTCAGAGATTAGAAGCTTACCTGCTAGGAATTTTATGCGTAGATCCCAGTAGAATTTCAAACCCGCCAAGCAATGTTAGAGGTGCAGACATCCTGCCTAAAACCCACGCAAGAATACGCATGAACCTCCGAGCATGAGTGCAAATGAGCGGTGAAGGCTCTTTGGAGTGCCTCTGAGTCTGGCTATGGAGGAAGTCCGGGGTTGCTGAGCGTCCACGAACAAAGGGTCTAGGGTTGAAGGCTTTATGAGGTGTTGGTACACAATGGCGTTGCCTTCGAATGCTTTCGAGCTGAGCCATTGTGCTACCAACATGTCATTGGTAACTCGGCAAATCCAAGGCATGGGCTGCGCCATCAGGCGCTTTCGAGGCGTTGCATGGCTGAGTCAGGCCAGACTGGGGTGAAACCACTTGAGAGCCAGCGGCAAAAACGCAAGCTCAGCGCTGGGAGCGTTTCACGACTGGCAGAGGCCGGGCCTAGCCTCTCGAACTGCAGACAAGCCTGCCCAAAACCCCAATACCCAGCCTCACATGGTTGGGAGTATTGGCGCCATATTCTCGTCATAGCTACTAGCGCGGCCAACTACACAAGCCAGAAGATTTCTCCAAAAGCAATGACTTCAGCAGATGAACCAAGTGACTGTTGGAGTCCTTTGTTGTTCAAGACCTGTTCATATATGTTGGATGTCTTACAGCTGCAGGCCCGCCATTTGGAGCCTCAGTGAAGCATACTATGTTTGAGAAGTTTTCTATCGATGGCTTAGCTGCCTACTGGCCAATCCGCGCTCTATGCCCATTCGTGCTATGGCTCTGCTGCGACAGTGCACCTTTTTCTTCCTGCCTCGCAAGGGCTGAGATGGTTGAGTTTGTGCAAACTGAAGCTTGCTGGTAGACCTGGGCCTCTGGACACGCACGGTCCAACTTGCTAAATGCTAGATTGAGCTATGGGCTCCAGCAAGAATAGAAAATCGGACATGCAAGGAAAAGTTGGATTTCTCAGCGTCTCCTAAGGAGGAGGTTGATCCGTGTTCTGGTGACAGTCAAAGACCCTTCTACTACCGGCTTGCTTATACCTGGTCTCCTCCGCAGGCGGCTGGTCCTGTGAAAATTGCTCCAGCTGGTCAATCCACATAAAACAAATTCCAACTCAGTCCTACATGACATTCGTCAACACCTAACCCTAGGTTCCATGTCATTTTTCATTTGATTTTCGATTTACGCGCCCATTATCCCTATGAGAGCCACTTGAACCTCACATCCAAAACCCTTGTGACTGCCTCGCTATCGGAAGAATATCACAACCGCAGCGGAAGCCATCTCTGCGAGCTATTCATGGAAAAGAAAACTTGCACTATCTTGCACTTTATAGCCGTGATACATGGTACAGTACATTGAAATTTGGCATCATGGTCGTTGACATTTTCTTTTCCACTCTCCTTGAAGTAGAAAGTGCTCTAGATCTTGTAACTCACACCGGTGAGCTTCTCTGATTTGGCCCACAGCTCCTTATCATGCTCGTCATCACGATGCAACAGCAGTAGCAGCAACGACGACGACGGCGACAACGATGACGACGAAGAGGACGAGGAGGACGAGGACGGGGAGGACGAGAACGAGGAGGACGAGGGCGAGACGACGGACGACCACAAGAACGCACCACAACAACAACAACCAACCAACCAACCAA